TAGGATCATGAAAGAGATATATGGTGAATTCCAATAGTTATATTACTGATTTCTGAGAGTGATGATTATGGAATTGTTAAGAATAGTCCTAAAATTTATGAGTATTTGAAACACTTTTAGGTAACCAGTTAATCTTCTGTGTGTGTTTATGTGTGTGTGTGTTTATGTGTGTGTGTGTGTGTGTGTGTGTGTGTGTGTACGTATGCTATTATGCCTATAATATACAACTTCATATATGGAAGTGTATATGCAATTGATAGAATCTATCCTTATTATCTTTATGCATAGTCCCAAAGGAAGTTAAAAGTACATGTATCATCAGGAAGTGTGTAATAAATGTTTACACAGCTCTTATCTTTATCAAGAAGCTATTCAGGAAAAGCTTGGGAAATGCTTGCCTAGAGAAGATAATGATTACTCCCTCAGGCTGGCCCTGAATACAGGTGTTAGTTTTGTATTATGAGGAGGAAAACAAGTGTTTGGAGCCAGAAAGGCTTGGGTTTAGTTCCAGCTCTGATGGTGCCATGACTCTGGGTAGTACCATCACAATTCTCATCCCTCATATTTGTTGTAGAGAGTCAATGAGATAATGTACTATTAGGCTGAGCAGAGTGCTGGCTCATAGTCAATGCTCAGTGACTTTTAGCTATTATATCAGAGCCTACCATACTGGAAAAGCATGGAGTGAGGTGTTAGTTGCTCAACCTGATAGATGTGAAAATATGGACACTACTGAGAAGGGATATTCTTAAGTAGAAATGGTATGTAGTAACACTACTACAGAATCCACCAATACCCCATTATTTCTGGTTTAGACCGATATGTAGAATGTAAGAGTTTAAGATCACCACTGATCTTGTGTAATCTTCACATTATGCACATGTTAATACTAGCATCTCAATTTTACATGAAAGAAATAGGTTCAGGGACATCAAAGAATTTTCCCCAGCAAATAAAGCCATGAATTCACAAGATAAGGTCTGAATCTGTTTTTACCTAGTTGAAAGAAAATGCTAAGGTTAATTTTAGAAAAAAAATAAATTAAGGGAAAAATGAAGTCTAGGGTCTAGGCACCGCATTATCTTTTCTTCTTGCCCCGTTAGCAAGCCATTAGCCAGCCCTCAAATCAAGGAACTGTCCTTAGTAACATAATGGTAGGATGGAGGCTAATTATAATTTAACTGAAAACTTATTTTGTTATGATTTCCCTTGACCCTAGTCTCCAGGGTGATTCTACCCATTTCTCATTCTGGCTTCTCTAAGTGCTGGGGGCTGGATGTGCTTTGCGTTCCTTGCAATCCATTCTATTTTCTGTGCAATTTACTCTTCATTGTGCACTCTTCTAGTAGGTATATATCAACCTTACAAACACAGGTGTATAAAAATTGGAAGCATCAATTAAAGATATTTTTTCTGACTCCTCATTTAATGTGTTATACAAATGGTAAAGATATTTTGTGCACAAGAAAAAAAGGGCACTTTTTGCTATGAGAGATAACTCTTTGTGTTCTGAAATATCAGGAAAGGAGATATTTAACTTTAATAATTTTTAATAAGGACTTTTTTGTGGTGCCATGGATTAAACCCAGGGATTCTTAACCACTGAGCCATATACCTAACCCTTTTTATTTTAGATAGGGGCTCACTAAATTGCTGAGGCTGGTCTCAATCTTGTGATCCTCCTGCCTCACTAGGAATATAGATGTGTGTCATCACACCTGGGAGCTAATTAGTGTTTTATTTATTTCCATACATTTGGATATATTTTATATTATAAAGTTTTCAGACATGATTGTCTTATTTTCAGGGTACATCCTTACTACTCTCTAATAGATCAAGATAATATCAGAAAATTTCAGTGTTAGAAGAGACAATGTTAATTATAAGGGCTAGTTTCTCAAGTTGGGTTCCAGTGTTCTGGGTTCTCATGGGCTCTACTTTTACATTAAAACAACCACAGAACAGATGCATGCTTAAATGAACTATAGAAACAATGATGTAGCATCAATTATAAAAGTTTAATCTAAGTATGTATGTTGCTAAAACCACAGTGGGACTTCCTATTGGGGGATATAGGATACAGCATTTCTTAAGTGCACTGTATTAACAATCCTCCTTCCACCTCACTGCATCATATTTTTCATGGAGCATTGGTTAGGACCAATATACTTCAGAATGCACTTTGGGGAAAATAATTTATTCAATAATCTGTTTGCAGATGAGGAAATTAAGAAATCCCAGAGAAAGTAAATAGCTCTCACTATGAGATCATGGGCACATCCTTCCAATTTTTATACTCATTATTGAACTCTGTTCACCATGCTTTGGGCCTGTAGTCAGTAGTCAGACTAGAAACTTTTGCTGTATTGGGTAACTCTGTGGTCTGACATATCAGGAAAAGGAGATATTTGGCATTTATCTTTTTCAGTAAGGATTTGTACTAGTCTTTTATTTATTTGTTTCCATATAGTTCTCATTCTGGAGAAAGGTCTCATTCTGTAGCCTATAGAATTACTTCAAAACATCACGTAATGATTATATTAGGGTTCTCTAGAGGAGCAGAATCAATAGGAAATATCATTATAAAAGGGAGAATTATTAGGTTCACTTAGGGGACCAGAAGCTGGATAGTCCACAATGGCCCTCTGAAGGATGGAGAGCTGGAAGAACCAATGGCTGTGCAATCCAAGAGGTGGATGCCCCAGAACAAGAGGGATCAATGGTGCTATCTTAGTCTAAGACCAAAGGCTTCGGGGAGTCGGCTTTGAAAGAGTGATGAAGCAAGAGTCCAATATCCTCAGAAGATTGAAGCAGCAATCAAAAACCCTTCTGAAAAAATTTAGCTTGCATCTGCTTCTCCTTCCTCATTCTTCCAATTTTTATTTCATCCAAGCTGTCATCCTGTTGTTCAGTACTGCCCACACTTGTGGAGTGTCTCCACTTCAGTTGGTTCTTGCACATGCCAATCATTCCTAGACACACCCTCACCTACACACCCATAATCCTCTTTAATCCCTGGCATTTCTTAAACCAATCAAGTTGACAATTCAAGGTTGATCATTACAGAAATCAAGAGAGTCTTCACTGAAAGAAATAAAGAAAAAAAAAAAGCATTACAGAAGCAGCTGGAAATCCAAATCATTGAATCTGAAAGAATTTTGAAATACAATGTTAAGGGATTTGAGACTTTTATAAATTTAGGATTATAATTTAAAAATGAATGATGGTTTTGATAATGGAGTTGGTCCTATCTTCTTATTTTATAATCATTTTTCGTGTCTGGTGTAAAATCTGAATTTTTTTTAGATATCAAAATTGTCCAACATTTTAAATGTGCTAAATGAACTAGTAGAAATTACATAATATTTTAAAAAAGCAATTTATGTTTTTAGGTCCTATTGATAGAATATTAATTGTTGTACATTTTGTTTTTATTTATGGTAGGGGTATTCTGTCAGGGCAATGCTTTTTGAAATCTAGGGTATTTTGAAGTGGATGTATTATGTCATTGGAAAAATGAAACCAGTTTTAATAAAATATTTTATTGTAGTAATATAGAAATATAGGAAAGAAGGGTATGGCTGAAATGAAAACTTCCTTAACAATTGTCTTGCTGTCATCAAATCAGTAAGAGCAATATCCAACAACCTGGGAGCTCTCTGACCAGAACAGCTGTTAAGGGCACATAACACAGCCATGAGGCAATTTTACTTCTGACTTAAGTGATGATTATGAAAGATCTGTAAGCATTTTTTTCCCTTTTACTCCTGAAGTTCTTTTTTCCCTACTCCAATCCAATTCTATTTTCCCTCCTCAGCATCTTTTAAGTGTATGTTACTAAATTATACTTGGCTATCACTAAAGATTGGAAGGAACTGTAGGGCTCTCTGCTCCCTTTACTTAGGTGCATAGTTAAACCATTGGTCATAATGACAGTGTATGTTTGTATGGAATGTTGTGAGTTATATAGTACATGCACAAACATTTTAATTTCATTCTCACAAAAAACATGCATCAGGTAAGTAGAGCAGGTATTTTTTTTTAATTAAAAAAAATTTTTTTTAGTTGTAGTGGATATATTTATATTATTTATTTATTTTTATGTGGTCCTGAGAATTGAACCCAGTGCCTCACATGTGCTAGGTGAGTGCTCTACTGCTGAGCCATAACACCAGCCCAGAACAGGTATTGTTAATCACCTTCACAGATGATGAAAATGAAGGTTAGGGAGATTAAATAATTTGTCCAGGTTCACAGCTAAAGAGTAACAGACTGGAATTGAGACCAGTTATATTTTTTAAAAATATTTGATAAATAAATTTGATAAATTTATTTTTCTCTACTACAAATTCATATTTATTATGAAGTGTTAGAAAAATGAGAAGAGCTTACTCATGTCTCCAACATCCAAAGACAATCATCATTCATATCTATATCTATCTATATATCTCTCTCTATATATATATGTATATGTATGTGTATATATTATATACACATATATATTTGGTGGTGGTAGTAGGGATTGAACCCAGGGCTGCTGTACCGGTGAGTTACTCCATAAATTACCCCCAAAATTTACTTAAAGATTTTTAATTTTTTTTTTTTTTATTTCGAGACAGGATTTCTGTTTAAGTTGCTGAGCCTGGCCTCAAATTTGAACTCCTCCTCCTTGAGCCTCCCGAGTTGCTGGAATTACAAGCATGCACCAACACACCAGGCTTAAATTTTGATATATTCTCCCAACCCACTTTTTTTTTTTTTTAATTTTAGTGCTGGGGATTGAACCCAGGGCTTCACACATGCTAGGCAAGTGCTTTACCACTGAGTTACTTCCCCAGCCACTGTTTAGTTTTTACAAATACATCAAATTTTTTAAAATATAATTTTAAATTTGAAAATATTATTTGAGCCAACTGCATATATTTACTGATTTTTCTGGATGACTTTTTTTAGATAAGCATTGTAAAATGTTCTTATAAAATATTGTTTGAACCCTTCAGGATATAAAAATTAAACTTGCAAACTTTAACAAAGAGGAACTATATAAAAGCCTATCACCTCCATCTTCTGGAACCAATGTTAACATCCCAGATATAAAGACTGACATTCTTACAAGTCAGCAGAGGTAAGTCAAACTCTATTTTTTCGGATTTATTTAATTCACGCACATAATAAGATATTAAAATATATTTCCCAATACAAACGGTCCTGTCATTTAAAGATGGAGATACTTTCTGAGAACTGCATTGTTAGGTGATTTCATCATTGTTCAGACATCATACAGTATATTTTCACAAACCTAGGTGGTGGCATAGTCTATTACACACTTACACTATATGGTGTAGCCTCTTGCTTTTAGGTTGAAATCTTACTTAACATATTGCTATGTTGAATACTGTAGGCAATTGCAAAATAATGTTTCTTTTTCCCGTGTGTGTGTATCTAAACATATTTATCCATATAAAGAGTACATTGAAAATATGGCATAAAATATTATAAAATGATAACTTGTAAAGGGCAATTACCATGAATGGAGTTTGCAGAACTAGAAGTTGCTCTGGGTATGTAGGTGAATAAGGGGTATTGAATGTGAACGTTTAGGATATCATTGTACACTTGTAGAGATTTCATAAATAGTGTATACAGTGTATACTTAGATCATACTAAATTCACAAAAATATTTTTCTTACATAGTAAACTAATCTTAACTTATTCTAATATTTTTACTTTGTAAACCTTTCAATTATCTTAAAATTTTGACTCATATTAATAATAAGCTTAAAACAAACACATTGTAAAGCTGTACAAAAACATCTTTCTTTATATTGTCATTCTGTAAGTTTTTCTATTTTTAAATTTTAAATTTTAATTTATTTTTAAGTTTTTTTTTTTTTTTTTGTAAAATCTAAAGACTCAAACACACATTAACTTACGTCTATAGAGAGAAAGGACTTTTGTCTTGCATCTCCACATTTGACCCACTGGAAGGAATTCATGGGTATGGCAGGCCTGGGCTGCCTTCTCTTATGATAACAATATCCTCTGGAATCTCCCCTGAAGGACCTGCCTGAGGCTTTTCTTGAGAAGATATCATAGTTTTCAGAAATATGTCCATGGTGTTTGCTTAGGCTATTTCTTTTTTCATCAGAATCCATTTTTTCAGACTTTTAAAGAGCTTGTTGAAGACTTTAAAAGCTTCTGCCAGACCCTTCACTGTGACTTTTCTGAGGGTTCTTATTTTTCCTCTCTAAGTTTTCTTTTATAAATCTATTTCTTTCTTTCTTTTTGTTATTCATTAATCAGGCAATAGAAATGTTTAGTCTCATTATAATCTTAAGAGACTACCATTGACTCTATCATTATTGAGATCTTGCTGTGCGGTACATGATTGTATGTGAGACCTTAACATTCATATCATATATGTTAGGACTTTTTTAGCATGGTTTTTCTTTTTGTAAATTGCTCTTTCTCTAGCGATTTCTTTCCACCTCCCTCCACATTGCAATAATATCAATAGGAGGATTATGAGTAGTATCAATATTTATTAAAGATGATAATGTTCTAGGGTATAGAATTAATAAAATAAATCATGATACTTTAAACCCAAGTCTTATAGGTTTTAAAGCTGTTTATCATAAGGGTGCTGTATTATTGAGAAACATTAATTAATGTATACATTCAAACAAAGAAAATAGGATCCCAATTTGCATAATACATTTTACTAATTATGTAAAAAAAATTCATAGAAATACATTGGAAAGGAAATGCACCAAAATATTGATGGCAGTTTCCTTCAGGTGACATTTAAAATTTGATAAACATTATTTTATATAATCACATTGTTTAATTATAAAAATTAAATGTTTTGAGACAGAGATGGGACTCTCACCTCTATATTTGTCCTTGATCTTCTCCTCAGTTGTCACATTCAGTGAAGTTTATTTTCACATCAATGACCCTCTCTTAGTCTATAGAAACAATTCCAACATAAATCAATTTTTTTTCTCATATAGAATCCTTATTTAGTAAACTGGTTACTAATGGATTAAGAATCCTACATTTTAGAAGACTAGTCCTCTAATGCTCTTTTTGAGTTAATGGACCCTGACAAAATAAAAAGCAAAACACATTTACTTTCTTATATTTCAGATTAGCATTATTATTACATATTAAGGAACACTAATAGATATGTTGATAAAATTTAGCTCAGTCTTTATTAGTGAATCATTTAGGCAATTAGAATACAACTATGGGACATTGAATTAAGGAAAAAAAATACAGATAATCAGTGAAATTTAAGAATTTTCCTTAAAATCTTTATGATTGTCAGTAAATTGCAAAACACTTTAGGAAGGCTCTTAGTAGCTCCAGAATTAAAAGTAGCATGAGACATCCTTCGCTTGAGCCAGGGCATGTCTCTAAACAGTACAGAAATGGTTGTTTGCTCCATTTCATTTTAATTCCTCTATTTCTCTACAATGCATATAGTTTATTGAAAGCATTTTTATATCTTCTTTTGGTGAGACATGAATCTCCTGTGACAATTTATCACCAAGACAACCAAACCTTTGCTTAATGTCCTGTACTTTAGTGAAATAAAATGCATGTGGTTTTAAGTAGGTTTTTAAATTTTTTTTAGTAGAGAGGGTTTGAGATTTTATTTTAAATGAAAATGAAACTTCTTATAAGTCTATTTCCACAAAACTACATCTTTCTAAACATTTAAAGTGATCATTCTCAGAAATATGCTTGTTTCAGGTTCAAGGAACCATTCTTCTCTACCTGTGCCTTCTAAACTTAATACTTTAGCAATCAAAATTTGACTTAGCTTCTGGGCTCCACCCCTCTGTGCAAATGAACTAACTTCATCCTATTTGAAACATAAGTATCAATAAAATATTCAAACTGGATAAGAAAGTGAAGTTATCCATAGAATCTAGCCTGTAGAGACAATTATTTTGTAGATACAGGCTAAGCAGTATTCCCCAACCCCACCCTGATGCAACAAGAGGTTTTAATTTCCATATGGACTATCAAAATTAACATTGATATTTTCTGCTCTACATTTGAAGACTGTGTCAGGAATTTTCAATTTTCCAACATTCAGTTCTTTGAGGATTCCAATGTCTGCTCTTTTGTTTGTAGAGTATTCATCTGTGAAGAGAAGTTGTTATGTACCTCTATTCATACATGGAGAATATTTGTGATGGAGAATAACTTTTCTGAGGCTTAACAAAGTCTTATGTATCATGAGTCTACCTGCACCTCAGGTAAAGCTGGTTTGCTCTGTTTTATTTACATCTCTAACAATAGAGTCCCTTGGTTGGTTGGCTCATTCATTAAAAAGACTATGTCTAGGGCTGGTGTTGTAGCTCAGAAGTAGAGTGCTTGCTTAGCATGTGTGGGGCCCTGGGTTCAATTTCAGCACCACATAATAAATAAATAAATAAATAAATAAATAAATAAATAAATAAATAAATAAGAGTGTTATCTCCAGCTAAAACTAAAAAAAATTTAAAAATTTTTAAAAAGACTATGTCTATAAAATGAAGAGGAACTAGATCAGCATAGACTTTCAGTCAACTACCTTTGGTGGGTCTGAAACATTTAATAGCTTAAAGTCAGAGGATCTGTGAGTTGGTCTTCAGTAACCATGAAAGTTGGGAAAGAGTTTAGAAGGACTAGTGAGAGAAGGGACCCATTAAACTCTTGAGGAAAGAGGAGAGAAATCTCAAATAACTAAATAAACATGTTAGTATTAAAGTTGACGAGTTCCTGAAGTTGATATTGTCGAAGAAAGGGATGAACTTGAGCTTGAGGTCCATACTAACAATGGAAAGGCCCATGAGATCCCAACATCCAGACTCCCAAAATCCAATTCCTCAGACTATTCTTGTTTTCTCAGATGCTTCCTTCCCTCAATAGACTCCAAGATTTTCACAGTAGCTCTTTTGACTTCAGAAGTTGGGACTGAAAATCTGAGTTCTCAGTTCTTTTGTGCAGTAAGATGTATTGTGTTTAAGATCAGGTGACTTCTTTGAGCCTTCATTATTTGGTCTGTAAAGAGTAAATAAGAGCAGGGCGCGGTGGTGCATGCCCATAATCCTAGCAGCTTGAGAGGCTGAGACAGGAGGATCAAGAGTTCAAAGCCAGTATCCGCAACAGCGAGGCACTAAGCAACTCAGTGAGACCCTGTCTCTAAATAAAAACACAAAACAGGGCTGAGGATGTGGCTCAGTGGCCAAGTGTCACCAAGAGTTCAAACCAGGGTACCCCCCTGCCCGCCAAAAATGAATGAGTAAATAAGAGTGTCTGTCCAGTACTGTCTTTCAGTAATCAAATTAAATAATGCATGACAGGTACTTAGCACAGTAACTTATCTTACCTGTATTGTTATTTATATTTTTCACTTATAAACTTGTATTCTTAATTGGTTTTTAATGTTCTTAAATACCAAAATTATGCCTTAAGCTTTTTTCCCTATGGTGTCTAGTTTTTAATGGATTATTGGACTCAGTAAATGTGTTTGTTTTTGTGAATAGTGTATGCTCTTGGCTAGAGAATTTATGAAGAAGTCACATAATCCTACACCCTAAATGACTTACTTAAATGGATAAATTCAAATTCTGAGGGAAATTGATCATTGTCGTTTTACAGAAAAGAAAACTAAAACCCGGATTGAAGTAATCTGACTAAGAACTTTAGTCCAGGGTGTGTGGTTCCAGACCATTTCCTTAATCACTGTGCTCTCTGATAATCACTTGGGATTCCTCACTACATCAAAAACTGCCTTAATTTAGGAAAAGAAGAAAAAACAGTCATGCCTACACAACATGGGCAGGTGGCCACCACTGCTCTTGAGACTACAGAGATTTTTGTATGTGCTCCATGCCCAATAGCAGAACATGTTCTTCCTTTTCCAAGAAAATATGAGGAGAAATTTCAGAAGGCGGAGAACACTAGGAACAATATGTGTGGATGCTTCTGCTCTAGTAGTTTAAATTTTTTCAAGAGTGATCTTTATTGTTGAGGTGGATCTCACAAAAATAAAAGGATGGCCAACTGAAAAGAGGAAAGGGATTAATTAACAAGGAGGCAGGAGAAGAGGGTGTGGTGAAATAC